GTCAGTAAAAACACAATGTTAAAAATAAATTCAACGTGAAGATGAAGAGCATGAGCTGCACTTGGGGTGACGGAACAATCTTTTATGAGAAGTTATGAAAGACTGATTAATTTCCACATCCAAAGCTACAGGGGAGAAAGAAATTTCTGCAGAGTGTAAGCCTGTACTGGTAGGAGTAAAGGGATAGCTGATGCAACAAATCTTTGTACCACTGCTGGTGTATTAGTGTGTGCTATTCCTACCCTCACTCGTGGTTAGGAAGACACAATCTTAGTTTGGAAAACAAAATAAAGCAGAAAATAGCAATTATGCAACTCAATCTGCTTCTCCTGTCAAGAATAGTTTATTTAAAACACATTAAGTGTGTTTAATTGTAGGACTTTATCATCATGAGGAAGCATGAACCAATGGAACCCATTCATCTTCTTCCCCAGTGTGATTTTAACCTATTGTTACAGGCTTTCCTAAAGAGCTTGACTATTTTCTGCACACGGAATAACATCTTTTCAAGTCCTTTTATTCTAGTGTGAGAGCAACACCTGTATGAAATATCAGAACACCAATCACCCTCAACCAGCTTCTATTCGAGGATGGGAGTTCCAACTGAGGCTTTGCATTTCTGTAATCTGAAAAATTTAAGTCTTCTGGAAAGACTGTGTCAGATTCAGAAAATCTGAAGCTAAAACTGAGGGCAAATCACCCCTTCTATAGCTCTCCTAAGTGAGCATGTGATTAGCCATCAGGTATCTGGGAATAACACATATGAAGAGAGTGCCATCAGCACTGAAAACAGAACAGCATTTTTAATTCAAACTCATCACCAGTGTTTCTCTTAAATAAGCATGACCCATTTATATTTTTTCCCTGAAAAAAAATCCCATCATATTCAACTTGCAGAAGTCACTCAGCAATATTTTCAAAGTCCTGAGAACAGAAAAGTCTTCTGCTGGAAGATGGAAAAGAAGTGACACTAACCCTTCTTCCACAATGCCTAGTTTGAGAATGCAGCCTGCTATTATCTCTAACCCACTGAAAGAGGGGTTTTTTTTGTAAAGGTGAGAACTCCATCTCTTCCAGACTACAACTGTGATAGCAATGAAGCTTACAAGATCTCATCAAACCGAAGTTTACATTTTGAGTATTTCAGTAACAAGATCTCACCTAAAAATAAGTTAACCACCAAGCTGTGTGCTTGTGAGGTACCAGTTTTTTATCAAGAAGCAGAAGGTCTCTGGCACACTGCCTTCAGCTCCTGCAATACAGCTAAGCGTGCTGGGCAGCACTACACAAACAGGTGCTACAGGCTTTAGGACAGGAACTCACGTGTACTTTGTGAAAGGACCATCACCTACAGCTGGTGATCCACACCTTAGCACGTGCAAGTTCTTATTTCTCATGCCCAGCTCTTTATTTTACTGTGGCTCAGACTAGTTACATGTTTTTCATAACAAATATTGTGGCATACTTGAGAAGTATGAACTTCACCAGACCACTCAATTGGTTCCCATAGGCCCCATTTTAAGAGTCTGAATATTTTTTTATTGTCTCAATAGTTTTTCAAGACTGCTGCTTTCCTGCCACCATTATTCAAAATCTTACTAACAGTTTATTAACAAAACAGCTGGTTTGGTTCTGTATTTTTTGTCTCTGAGTATTTTCAGCTTTTACAGCCTAAAACTTTCCAACGCAAATTTGTGAGCAGTAACCAAAACACTCACCTCTGCTACAGACTGAAGACTCCGGGCAAACTTGAGCTGGTTGACACCATGATGCACAGGTTTGCCATAGGTTGCACCTTTGGGGACGGGGCGTTTGCGGCCTCCACGGCGAACGCGGACACGGTAAATAACGTAACCTAGAACAAAGAGCGGCTTAAGAACCACAGCACTTCTAGCAGCAATTTTCATTCCTGTACTGCATTTCCAATCCCTCAAAATTTACATGAAGTGCTGCAACGCTAAGTCATTTCGCCAATTTTTACCAAAATATACAACTTGAGGAGGATAGTGCAAGATGGTTTTGTTATTTTCATTACAACTGAGTAAGGAAAGTGATATCCTGATGCAACTGGTTTTGGCTCCAAACCACTATGCAGTCCTAAACCAACAAAGATCAGCTACAACTATACTATAATACAATCATTAAAAAAACCCCACAAAACCACTACTCAAACTGCACAATTCAGATGGCAGCACTCAAAAAGTACTGAAGCACAAGCCATCCACAAACACTGCTGAAATCTGGTCACTGAGAAATGACAAAGCTAGACAGACATGACAGAAGTGTCAAGTCCTAGCTTTTTATTTGCTTTGTGAATAAATATACTAGGTTTTTAAATGGATTTTCACAAGTTGCACATGGATGGCCACTTTTCCCATTTCTTTCCCTGACCAGTATCTGCTTTTCAATGACAGTACAAACTTCATCATCTCGCCCAAGTGCATGCAGCTGCAATACAGTCATAATATGGCTTGGGTTGGAAGGAACCTTAAAGATCATCCAGTTCCGGACAGGGACACTTTCCACCAGACTAGCTTGCTCAGAGCGCCATCCAACTTGGCCTTGGACATTGCCATGGATGTGGCAGTCACAACTCCTCTGGGTGGTCTGTTCCTGTTCCTCACCAGCCTCACAGTAGAGTTTCTTCCCAGTATCTATTAGTATCTAATCTAAACCCGCTCTTTCAGTCTGAAACCATTTCCCTGGTCCTGTCACTACATGCTCTTGTGCAAGTCTCTATCTAGATCTCTTGTAGCTCTTTTCAAGGTGCTAGAAGGTCACAGTTCAGTCGCCTGAAAAAAGTCAAAGTAACAGATGACAAAACCTGGGTAGAGTAAGGCCATCCCCCAAACCTAGAATACTAAAGCCCCTGCTCAATTGTGTGGCACTAACATTGCACAAGAACAAAAACTGAGGCCAAAGCCCACTTGATCTTTACCTGCCAGAACAGCAACCGAGGGCACAGATGTGAAATTAAGTGAAGTTAAGGTGTTATGCTGTGGGCACTGCTACCAACTGAGGACATTTACGATATTCTGTTCACTTCATACAGGACACTTCAGTTTATTGGGGGATACTCCACTTTCCGACTCTGCCACTCTGCCGTCACCAAAGGAAGCCATGTCACTTGATTGTGAGGCACAGGGACCTCAGCTGTGCGTGCCCTTACCTTGCTTGGCCTTGTAGCCCAGCCTGCGGGCTTTGTCGGGCCGCGTGGGGCGCGGGGCGCGGTGCAAGGCCGACAGCTGGCGGTACTGCCAGCAGCGCACGCGCAGCAGGAACCGCATCACGTCCGACTGCTTCTTCCTCCAGAGCTCCTGGATGTACTTGTAGGCACCCATGTCTGTCTACCTGCTGGACAGAGAGCTCAGTGAAAACAGCGCACCAGGAACAACTCCCAGTCTGAACATCTTCCAGCGGGGCACTGCACCAAATCTCTCACGGAGCAGCGCTGAAAGACAGGGAGCTCCCACGCTCCCTCCTACCACTGACACATCTGGGAACACGGATCACACCTGGCAGCCTCCAGCATGACACCCTGCAGGCACCATTCCAGCAATTCTCTTCCTCTTCTATTCATTCTGGAGGGTTAAACTCCTCAACTGAGAAACTTTCAGCAGCGCAATGTCTGATACTGCCAAACCCAACAAGTAACATTTGAATTGAGTTTTGCGTACAAATCCATCAAGGACTGTGGGGAGCGTGGCCTTCAATGCAAACTCTGACTGCAGTCAAGTTTGTACTTCTAAGTGAAAACTTAACAGTTTTATTGGAAAGTGGAAGTTTAAGTTGCTCAAGAAATGAGCTGGAATGGGACTTTTGCTTCCTTAGAGCTACTCACACCGTGCCTCCCACACCTCAGGAGAGACAAGGCCTTCCTCCACATCTGCTGAAACTGGGCTTGGAGTAAAATGAGGCACTACTGACCGTGTCACACTAAAAAAGAAGTGTCATAGCTCAGTATCTTACTGCTGCTGACATTTGTGTTCTGCTCCACAGATGCCCTGTGGGTTTTGATAAAGTTATTTTTAAAAAATCGTTTCTGCTGGGCACCATCGGGGATAGTTTGTATAGACTTCAGCAAAGCCAAGGATCAAGACAAAGTTCTTACAGGTCACATTTCGTTCTTATGAAAGCAGTGATTATTACAAACTCACTCTTATGAGCTGAGTATGTCTTAATTATAGGAATATAATATGAATATGTCTCAAATGAATATGTCTTAATAGTTGAAGGCGTTTCAAAAATCACCTATTACTTTATTTTGTTATCATGTTTACTGCTGTTTTCCTAAAAACCTCTGAGGCCTTACACACCCGCAGCAATCAGCACGTGTACCTGATCTCCATCAAGCCCCCACCCAGCTCACCATCAGACACACGCAGCTCACTTTATTTACATTAAAAACACGCCACGAACAGTTCGGGTGTGATTTTGGGTACCCCTCTTGTTTGAACCTGCCCAGCTCATCCATTCCCACCCCCGGCCACCCCACCTTTTCACGGCCTGATGGCACAGAAAACCCCCGCGATCAAACCGCAAACCCGGAGCGATCCGGGGCTCGCCGTCTGCCACCGCCCCGCACCCGCTCTGCCGCGCCAGGGCCACCGGGCTGCCGCGCTCCCCTCCCGCCCCGCCGAGGCGCGGCCCGCGGGCCCTCCTCCACCGGCCTCCCACAGGCCCCGCGCCGCAGGAGCAGCCCCGTCCCAGCCGGGGACGGGCGGATGGGCGCCCGGATCGCGGGATGGGCGCGGATTGAGGGAAAGGCCGCGAGCGGACCGGCCCTCACCTGATGGCGCCCAGCGACGGAAAGGAAAGGCCCTACTTCCCACAAACCCTCGGCCCACAACACACTTCCGGCGGCGGCAGCGCTGCCTCATGGGAAATGTAGTCCTGCGGGCGTGGGGCCGCGCGTCCCTCCCCGCCCGGCCCGGCCCGGCCCGGCCCGGCTCGGCCCGGCTCCGCTCCGGGCATTTGGTGTCGCTGCTGGGGCTGGCGCTCGGCCGGCCGGGACGCCTGTCCAGGTGCGCGCTCGCGGCGGGGGGCGGCCCCGGGGGCGCGCTCGGGGGCCGGGCGCTGGGGCACGGCGAGATGCGGCATGCCCCGAGACACCCCTTCTCCCCAGCGCCCAGGTCAGGGATTGGGGGGAGACTTTGCTTAAAACCCTGAAAAGAAGCCTTAAAAATATATCTCTAAAATAATAATTGTTTTAAAAATCGTAAGATTATGAGGAAAGTCTGAGGGAGCTGGGCTTGTTTAGTTTTGAGAAGAGGAGGTTGGGGGGAACCTCATCCCTCCCGGAAAGGATGACTGCAGTGAGGCTGGGGCCGGTCACTTCGCTGTGCCTGCACTGAGAGGACCAGAGGAAACGGCCCCAAGCTGAGACAGGGGGGACTAGGTTAGGTGTTAGGAGAAAATTTTTCACTGTTAGGGCAGTCAGGCATTGGGAATAGGTTGCCCAGGGAGGTTGTGGAGTCACCATCCCTGGAGGGGTTTAAGAGGCATCTGGCTCTGGTGCTGGATGATGCGATTTAGTGGTTACGGTGGTTGATGTTTGGGCTGGATGCTCTTAAAGGTCTCTTCCAATGCAATTACTCTATTCTATTCTAAATAATAAATACTAAAGGGAAAAAAAAAAAAAGCCCTAAAACCTTATCAGGGGAGGGTAGGGAGAGGGCACCATGCAGTCCCTGCTCTGCAGGCCCTGGCTTTCCCCGCTGATCTGCTCCTGTCCCTGCTCCCCTCCCTCCTGCATGTGGCACGGCACAGGTTGGATGGGGTGTTGAGTGACCTGGTCTGAGTGCTGGCATCCCTACCATGGCAGGGGCTGGAAGGAGAGGATCTTGGAGCTGCCTTCCAACCCAAGCCATTCTATGATTCTGTGAGTCAAGCGTTCCCAGCCTGCAAGTCCTTTCTGCCTCCCTACCTGCGGCTGCAGGATGACCTTTCTGTTTTGCAGTGTATGCTTTTCTGAGCACCCTGGCTTGTGAAGCATTACCTGGTTAAACTGGAATTGAAGCAGGACAACGCCAGCCCCTCCTGGTCCAGAAAAGGTACTCTTCACCTCTCTTTGTGGGAAGTGGCTCCAAACAGCAGAGTCAGGGCCTGCTGCCCTGCCATAGCTTGCTGGCAGAGGGAAGTGCCCCAAGCTGCTGGATGCCTCCTGCTAGAACCACCCCCCACCCATCAAACTGCTTTAAAGCAGACCAAAAAAACCTGCTTTCTGCCTTTGCTTTCCTGTGCTTCTGCCTTTAACCCTCCTGTTTTGTAGCTCCTAGTCCATAAAAGCTAGAAACTTTCTATCAGCAGAATAAAGGGGGAGGAACCACCATTTTCTTGCCACCACATTTCCAGAAGCCATCCTGGTACCATGAGATACCATCAAGCCCACTGCAAACCCAGGAAACCCAATAATGCCATGCACACACGCGCCAGCAAATGCAGCCCCTGCCCTGGGGGTGTGCATGCTCCAGCACTCCCAGTCTCCCCGAACCTGACAGGACAAGTGTCGAGCCTGCAGGCAAGCATCAGCACCACTGGCAGCAGCCTAAAACCTGAAAAAAATGGTGTGGGAGGAAACTCTAGTCCTAAAAATATCAGTCGCTGGCGAGCGCTGGGAGGGAGCTGTGCCCCCGCTGCTGCTTCGCGCTTTGCCTTGCGCCTTCCGTGGGCTCGGCTCCCATCCCCATCCCATCCCCAGCCCCATCCCCATCCCTGCACTGTGCCAGGCTCACAGCCTCCCGTGTCTGCACAGGGCTCTGCCGTGGAACCAGCCCTCGGGAAGCATGGGAAAGGGCTACAAGGTGGTGGTTTGTGGAATGGCCTCAGTGGGAAAGACTGCGATTTTGGAGCAGCTTCTCTATGGAAAGCATACTGTTGGTGAGACATTTTTACTTTTGGGGGGTGGCTGTTTCCTTTTCTAGCATCTTGGTCGGTGTGGGCCCCAAAACACCAATAATGGAGGACTGCAAACTGCGCTGAGGTGAAGGAGGAAATTAATACGGTTTTGGGTAGCATCTCTGGGCTGTTCTTAAAATTCACAGTCCCTTGCTTATGGATTTTTAAAAGAGTTGTGGAGAAGAACCCGTTCTGTGATGTTCCCAGTAATAAAACACAGGAATGTTTAAAAAGAAACAAACACTGAAAGTAGGTGATGTGCCTGCTGCGTATTTACAAAAGAAATATCTTGTTCCCTGAAAGGTGCCGTGGATGCCTGAAAAATAAATAGCTGTCACATGATGAGTGTAGACACTGTTTAGACTTTTGTTTCATCTTCTTAAATCTTTATTTTGCTTGGTTTTGGCTAACATTTAATCAAAGCTCTGGAAAGAAAAACAGCTCAGCTTTAGGTTCCACGTTCTCTGCTGAATTTTGAAGGCCAAGTGTCTCCACTCTCTAAGAAATCCCCACGGGGAAAACAGACTTGACAGAGGATCAGGGGATGCCTGATATTTGCTGTGCACAAAAGAAAGGGAACAAAGGCAGAGCCTGCACGTTTCCCTCTGTTTCCACATTTGGCTTTGAAAGGAAGGGCAATGATCATCAGGCTGACAAATTATTCCTGCCTCACCTGGAAACAAGGGGTGGCACCAGGGCTTTGACAGAAGATGTTTAGTCACTTTGCATTTTTTTCTTGAGCCGGTAAATTAGACGTCGGGATAAGTTGTTGGATAAACACAAGGATTTCTAGCATGGTGCTTTGCAGCACTGCACCTTTAAAATGTGTGGATGGGAGGAATTTGCTGGCAAAGCGTGATACAGAACTGTGTGCTAATACCCGTGTTTAAAAGGAGGATTTCCTCTAATGTTGCAGCAACATCTGTTTCCAGCATCCTACTGAGCGCTAGGCACGTAGCCCCGTGTAGCTTTCAACGTGAAGCTTGCAAAGCTTTGCAGGCTGGAGGTTTTTCCCTTTGCTGCCGCCCTGCCTCTGCTCTGTGCCGGGCTGGGTGACTGTCAGAGACACCCGAGCAGCATGAGCAAGGCCACGTTACTTAAATCGTATTGCCTTGCATTAATTCCTGCCTCCTATTAGCAACCCCGGCAGGAAGGATATTCGGGTGTTGCTGATCAGAGGAGCTATTTATGGAGCCAGCCATGTACATGATTATACAACGTCATGGACTCTGGCTGACATAACCGGAGGGAGGCCTCGTGCCTGGGGTTTAGCCGTGGGTGTCCCTCTGTCACTCCCAAATGCCCTGCTCCAGCTTGGCCATTGAGCAATGCAGACCTCCCCACTGCCCCCCCTGCACTTAAAAAGATCATTTTTCCTTGTCTGCAGCTCTGCTCTTATTTTTTGGAGTTACTGGGAAGAAACAGCTGATAGCAGATGGAGAGTGCAAGGGGAGAAGGAAGAAGGTAGTTTCCTGTTTTCTGTGATTTTGGTCAAATCATATTCCTAAGACATTCTGAGAAAGAGGGCAAGTAGCAGAGACAAGATGAAGGTATGGAGAGGGTCATTACAGAGCTGCTGCATCCCCAAGAGATGATTTGCCATGGCCCAGCAATTTTGATATCCCTTCCACAGGCCATCAGGCACATTTGAGGGGATGGACCAACAAACTGGTGCTTTTGGCAGTCCTGCTGGGTGGTCACCATCCTCCCTGCCTCTTCCTCAGCACATAGGCAGTTGTGGCAGGGGTTGGCAGGAGTATGGGCTGGTGAAAATGGTTCCCAGAAGACCTTCAGCTACTGTTCCACTCTGTATTGATTTAACTGCTGAACTGCAGGGGCAGGATGCCATTGTGAGGATCTCACTACACAAGGACAGAGTTTGAGGAATGGCGAGTCTTTGACTGCTCCTTAGCTGAGCTGCTTTAAACTGCACAATGGTGCTACCATTGCAGGGGTGGCCTTTCCACACCTGAAACATGATTACAGGATCCTGATCCTCGTTTCCTAAAGCTTGTGAGCTCCAGAAAGCTGATACGTACATCTTGGCTGCTGGCCTTTTTGGCTGGAGGCAAGAAGGCACTAGTGTGTTTGCTGAAAGCCTGTCTGTTCAGAGCCAGCCAGCAAGGCAGCTCACCAGGCAGGGCAACATGGACACAAGCTGTTTCAAAACCTGTGCTTCCTGACTGACGTCAGGAGCAGCTCTGCGGCCGCTCCAAGGGCCCAGGAGCCGTGGGGAGGATGGCCGAGCCAACAGAGGGAGTCTTTCCATTCTGATGGCAGGCACATGCCCCTCTCAGTGACAAGAGGCATGCTAGAACTTGGTTGGAGGCTCAGAGCACAAGGTCTGCTGCCATTCTCCGGGGTGTCGCAGCCCCTGTCGCGAGGGTCTCCTCCTGGCTGTAAATCAGCCACATGTCTGTCAATGCTCACGTGCCTCCTGTTGACTTTCCTGTAAAAAGGAGTGGTGGCACAGCTGGTGTCAGGGGGGTGATTAGAGTCCGTGGAGGTTTCACGCTGCTATGTAAACCCTTGGCTTTGAGCCCGTGCTCCTGGCTGTGTGCTAGGTGATGATGCTGTAAACCCAGTGGCACTGTTTCTTTTCCTAGAAAAACAAGCACCTTCAGGTCTCCCTGGTTTGTCATGGATGAAGTCCCTGAGTGCCACTGTTACTTATGTGGCCAGCAGCTAACACTCTTCCAAAGACACTAAGATTGCTTGAGGTCAAAGAGGAAAAAGTACTCAGGAAGGAGGAATACCCTAAAAAAGGACTATCTGTGTCCCTGTAGCATGTGAGCAATGATGTCTGGTGTTGGATTTTGTGCTAGGCTTTAAACTGCAAGGGAATTTGCCTTGTGTCCCAAGATGGGAAAGGAGAGGACAAATAGATGAGAGACACTCTCAGAGCCACGTAAAATAATGTAGCTATTGCAATGCAGACACTCTCGCCAAACTAATACAAGGAATTAGAAAAAAACCAAAAGGAAATGTTTGAAATGGGTGCAGATTTAGCATTGAGTCATGTAGAGACTATATTGCCATAGGTCAGGACAAATAGTTGCTGAGGATTGCACATGTGGATGTGGTACAGATACAGGTACAGCAGTGTGCCCAGGTGGCCAAGAAGGCTGATGGCAGCCTAGCCTGCATCAGAAATGGTGTGGTCAGCAGGGCCAGGGCAGAGATCATCTGTGCTCAGTCTGATGAGGCAGCACCTTAAATCCTGTGTTCAGTTTTGGGCTCCTCTCAAGAAAGACATTGTGGGGCTGGAGTGGGTCCAGAGAAGGAAATCTAAGCTGGTGAAGGGAAGGCTCTGGTGCACTACTGTGATGAGGAGCAGCTGAGGGAGCTGGGAGTGTTCTGGCCAGAGAAAAGGAGGCTCCAAAGGGGGATCTTATTGCTCTCTGTAGCTACCTGACAGGAGGGTGTAGCCAGGTGGGGATCGGTCTCTTGTCCAAAGTAACAAACAACAGGACAAGAAGAAATGGCCTCAGGTTGTGCCAGGGGAGGTTTAGATTGGATATTAGGAAAAATTAGGGAAAGGCTGCTCAGGCAATGGAGCAGGCTGCTCAGGGAAGCGGTGGAATCACCATTCCTGGAAGTGTTAAAAAATCAGATATGGCACTTGGGGACATGGTTGAGTGATGGGCTTGGCAGTGCTGGTTGAACAGTTTGACTCGATGATCTTGGAAATCTTTCAGCCTTAACTATTCTATGATTTGGTGATTGTCTGGTACCTGGGATGATCTCTCTTTTTGTGACTTAAATGTTGTGTTCATCCAAATCCTCCACCTTGCTGTCCTGAAGAAAGAGAGGCCAGTTTTATGTCCTCAGTCATGAAAAGGGTCCTTGACTAGCAGCAGGAGATTGTCCCACTAAGTACCTGTGGTACCTGGCACTGCTTGGCCTGACCTCTCTTGACCAGGCTGGCAGGAGATTGCTGGCTTAGCTTTGGTACAGGACATGTCTGTAAAGATGGATGTTTTTCCTTCAACAGTGTTCCTGTTCAGTGATGGTGCAGAAAGGAGCCTTTCTTCTGCCTTAAAAATATTTCTGGCCTCTCAGCCTACACTAAAACTTATCAGCTCAACAGGAGGAGATGAGAACTGGCCATTGTAGAAAACTTATCTCTGCCTCCTGGCTGTGTAAACAGCTGGCATGGTCACGTTACTCATAAGCAGCTACTTCAGATCCTCTTGCTAGCTAGGAATGAAAACACCATATATTACTGTGGTAGAAGCCATAATGAGAGAAATTGCCTCACTTGTTCCAGCTGGAGGGATTTGGGGTTTTGGCTTACACACTTTGGATGTGGAGGCTAATTAACCTAATTATGCATTCATAGAATCATAGAATGATTTGTGTTGGAATGGACCTTAAAGCTCATCTTCTTCCAACCTCCTTGCCATGAACAGAGACACCTTTTTACATCTTCACTCCTTAAATTAAAATTGCCTGGTGATAGAGTTGCAGTCAGCTTTGCATTTTAGAAATAGTTGAAAATGGAACTGAATGTATATAGCTGAGGGTCAAAACCTGGCTATTTGTTGGTGGGACCAGTACTTCCGTAGCAGCTAAATCTAATCAGAACAGCTCCTCTTGAGGTTTGTCCAGCTCTTTCCCAAGTCAGGGATCCTCTGATACACTGTCTTTTGAGATCTAAATAAGAAAAGCCTGTTATTAACATAAGGAATAGCAGGTTTTAGGAGCTCTTTGCTGAATTCCTCTGGAAAAGTGGAAAAAGAGATTACACAGGAGATCTTCAAAAGTACTCAAGAAGACACAACATTTGTACTGTGTTAATGTTCCATCTGGGAACTTTTGAGTTTCCATCCCTCTTGAAATTTTGATTTACTTAGGTATTTGCAGTTTATCTGCTGTGCCTAGCCTAAGTGTGCAGTATTAGTATATTGAGCCTTTTCTTTTCCTCATTGGGAAGCCACAAGGGGTTGGAACAACACCCAATTTGTGACAGAGGCTTCCCGTTGCAGTTCCTCTGTGGCAGCAGTTGGTAAAAAACAAAGACCTTTCTCCCTCTCCTAAGATTTGCACCGGCTAAGTAGGTGCTAGAGAGTGGCATCACTTCTGTCTATTCCTCTTTTCCCTCTCAAAATTTTTTATATCTTTAGTTTTCAAAAGAAGCGTGACATTGTGCACTATGTTGTTATTCCCCTTCACCCCTCCAACTTCTGAACCTGAAAGCTGGCCCACTGTAGTGCTTTGCTCCACAGAAAAACTAGACAAACTGGCAGCAGTCTGCAGGACAGGAACTTCCCAGCACAAGCTGCCCTTGCCCACCCAGGTCGAGGTGGTGGAAAGATGCCTGAGGATGCCAGTGAAGGGAAGGAGAATCAGGATCTTTGTGGCAGGGAGGATGGGATGGTGCCAGCACCTTTCTAGGACAATGACTAGTGTTCTTCTCTTGCAACAACTTGCCTGACCCACTTTGAATGGAGACCTAGGGAGTGTTTGAATTGGATGCTACTAACAAGAAGTATAAATGTCATTGTCAGCAAGGTACAGCTGGTACATGGTCTGGGCTTTAGGAGCAGGACCTAGAATAAGGTGACACAGGTATTTCTAAAATAATAAAACATTTCTAACTTTACTTAGGAGACCACTTGCATATACTCCCTCCCCCAGTGCATGTAGATGAAATTTCACCTCTGGAATGTGATACTGGTGCATAAATTTCAACTCCCTCCTAAGTGCCCCCCTATTTCACATCAAAATTTGTTGCTCTATTCTGCTGAGTTAAGTCCCAGGTCTTAAATTTTCCTCTTAGTTTTTAAATAGGATGTTAAAAGACATACTTTTCACTGCTGCTTTTAATGCCATTAGGAAGAGATTGTCACAGGATAACAAGGATATATTAGAGGCTGTTGGATTACAGTGTAGCATTTAGAGGATGAAAAACTGTACGATATTATTTGTTGCTTTTAAAAAAAGAAAGCTTAGGTAGTTATGGTTCTTTCCTTCTTGCCGAAGCCATGTTTACTGATGCTAGGTATTTCCTTGGCCTGTCTGTACAATGCAGCAAGGCAGAGCAAGAATATAGTGCTGTGTCTAAACAACAGTGCTATATCCAGAAAGGGCTTTGTTACTACCTCAGTCTTTAAAAGTGCCCCTTGAACACATTCTACAATCACACAGGATGCATTTGTGCTTCCTCTTTTCATTAACCTTTGCTTTGTCCTTCTGTTCTTAGTTTTGCTCCCACACATTAGCGTGGCTATATTTGGAGGCAAGATAAATTAAATCTTTGGAAACCTAATAAGAGTTTGATCTATGAAGACTGCACAGAGAGGGGCAAAAAGAACAGTTTGTGCCACTTTCCTGCACAGGAATGCTGCATACATCACGGCAAACCATCAGCGTGGGTGGAATGCTTTAGCTTGTTTGTCAATGTGAAGTGTTTTGAATAGTGTCACTGAATATAGCAAAATCCTTATTTTCATAGGCCAGATAATCCCTTGTGTTTTCTTAAACAATACACTAAAAATGGTCCCTTTTTGGCAGACAAAGAGAATAAAGCAGGACTCATTATTGTAGTCCTGCAGCAGCAAACAATTGTATATAGGAGTGCAGTGGAGGCAAAAACGTGTGTTGCAGAGGGCTTATATGAATACTTAAAACTCACTCTGAAAGTGGCCCAGCTACACTATACACAGATTGTTTCAATTATGCACCTGCATCCAGGAGGAACACAAAGCTAAGGTGATTGATGTGTTCGCAGGTTTGGCTTAGGAAAAAATAATTTTGATTAGTTCAAAGCAAGCTGCCTTGAATTAACCTCACATTTACTGTGTGGAGAGGAGGAAGGAAGGAGGACCACTATGCTGATAGTCAGGGTGGAACAGGTGATACATGTATGAAAGCTTGTTACCTTGTGCATGCTCTTGCCTTGCAGTAAATGAACTTGTTCCTATTAGCAAATCTGAGTCATTTTAAATCCCTAGGGGATGAAAAAAAGCTAACTGTGTATTTGAGTAAATAGAGGATGGAACTTTGTTTGCCTGCAAACATCCCTTTCTGGCTTAATTTCACGTATTGGTTAGTTATACCACTTAATACACATTCATTTCCAGAATTATTCCTTTGGCTCCTGCTTCTGCAGTATGATCCAGCTCATTATGAGGAAAAGTAGGCTTAAGATGTTAGTACTTGACTATCTGGTGTTCCCTGGCTGTTGTTCCAAAAGGGTATGTTTGGGCAGGCTCGTTTTGCAGCATGTTTGGCACAGAACTGGTACAACTGGGTGGTTGGAGTTTAGAAAACTTGGGAGGAGAGCATATATCTTATCCTATTCTGAATGTGCATGTTGCATAGGTTAATTTTACAGGCATAATCATGTGCTTACATATGAATGTATTTACAGTGGAAATAGCTAGTGCAGTCATCTATGAATACAACCCTCCATGGAGATGCCAGGCAAGGTCAAGGCCTGGTCAAGTCACTCTGTAAAACAACACTGAAAGCTACTGTGGGGAAAAATTCTGCTGCACTGCAAAGGATTCTTATAGTGAGGCTGTACTTACAGCAGTGGAACGTTCCTGCTTGTTTTCAAACAGGCTTAGAAGAGGGTGCCACGATGGAAGATGTGTATTTGGCATCGGTGGAGACAGACCGGGGCGTGAAGGAACAGTTGCGGCTGTATGACACCAGGGGTCTGCAGGAGGGCGTGGAATTGCCCAAACACTATTTCTCTGTGGCTGACGGCTTCGTGCTGGTGTACGCCGTGACCAGCCTCGAGGCGTTCCAAAGAGTCGAGCTGCTCAAAAGGGAGATCGATGTCTTCAGGGACAAAAAGGAGGTAAAGGCGTGCTTGGCTAAATGCTGCAGCAGTGGTAGGAAGTTAAGGTCCCAAAGGCCAGCTTTTGTTTCTGTAAACGTTGTGTACAAAGGAAAATGAAGGTACCCACAGCCTTGGGCAACCCAGCAAAAAGGAGGCCTTCACATGCCAGGGAAGCTTAATTCACATGCCATGCAGGTCATGCAAAACGATGGGGATTTTTTTTCGTCCTTATTTCCTGTGCTGCAGCTAAAATTGAGTCAGCTGAATGCACCAGCCAGGACAATTATGACTAATAAAACATATGGTCTACAGCAGTGCAGGCTCATGTTTTTTTAGATATTGTACAGGGGAAGTCAAGTGCATAGAATAATGTAACGAAGGGTATTATCTTTGTTTGTTTTGTATTCATGTACTTGATGGCTCACAAACTAGTGTAATTGACAATGGGTCTCCCAGACATTAGTCAATTGGCAAAGCAGCTTTAATGTATTTTAACAACCATATTGAATCAATTCAATTGTGTGAAATGACTGCTCTATTTTCCCTTAGAAAGCAGCTAGTGTTTTCAGCTGACAGCGTTCCAGCTTAGCTAAACAAATATAACTTGCATGTGGCATTAGCATTACAGCTTTTCCTACAGTATCTATATTCTGGAGTAGTTTTCCCTGTTAAATGTCTTTAGCCTACAGCTTTCCAAATGGCTGTTTTATGCTGTTTAAAAGAAAAAAAAAAGCATGAAGAATTAATTGGATAATGGTTGGGAGGGACTTTGCAAAAGTGTAACTTGTTTTGTACTGACAGCACACAGGGTGGTAGAGGAAGGCAGGCTCAAGTTTGACGGCAGATGAATGTGCAGTCACAGCAGAGGTATGTTAGGTGGTAGGGCTGGTGTGAGCTGCACACTGTCCCTGTATATCAGGGACACAGGAGTCAAGCACAACTCCCCTGCAGGGCAAGGAAAGGTGGACAAGCAGGAAATTTTTCCCAGGCACTGTGTTTTGTGATGGCCCTGATTTGGTACCATACAGCATGTTGTAATGCAGAGAGGGAGTCACAGCCCCGACAGGATCTGTGTCCTGCTCATCTGTGTTACCTGTCAGAACTCTTCTCTCTCATTGCATGCAGGTATTTTAGAAAAAAGCCAGTTTGCTTATCCTTTTGGAGAGCTTCAAATTGTGATTCTGACTGAGAATCACTTTTTTAACATGGTTAAAAAAGTGGTGGCCACTGTAAGATGGATAAAATAGTTTTCATTCCAATGATTTCCATAAAAAATAGGCTTTAAGATATACAAGGTGAGACCAGGAGTCCTACCTTAAGGTAAACTGTTAATCAGCAGATTAATGATTCTGTGACTTAAAGTCTGGGCTCCGCTAAAATGAATTCTTTACTGAATTGGGGATGTATCTCCACACATGGTTCTTCTGAGCTGGCAGAACTTTAACTCGTTGAGTGGCACAGTCCCCTGTTGTGTGGCAGATGACAGAAAGCACTGATGGCTGGTTCCTTGCCTCTGCTGGCTGTGGGGGCTCTCCAGCTCACACCTGAAAGCCTGGCCAAATTTTATACTAAATAGAGGTTTTGTTCTGCTACACTGACAGAGCTTTGCCATAGCTAAAATTCAGATGGAGCATGCAGTAAATACACATGAAGATTATAGCTTCTTTCAAAGCCTTCACAGAGGGAGAAAATACCCCTAAGCAGCATTTTTCCAAACACCCTGGACTGCTGTAGAAAAGAAAGGAAGTCTCAGACCTCACAGGAACAGGACTAACATCTCTAGCTGGAAAGAAGCAGAAGGCATTCTTGAGTTAGCCTGAACAGGAAAGAGCAAGCAAGTGTGGTCACAGCAAACCCCACAAATCATCATCAAGAGAGGACTTTTATCACTAGATCTTTGTCAAACCACTAGTGTGCAGATGAAAACAGAATTTGACTAAGGACCTTGAACTAAAAATGTAGGCATGGTTTTCCCCTAAGAGCTGGTGCTAGTAAAACATTTTAGGGAACAGTTAACTTAAAATAAGGAGGACCGGTAGCTTCATATGGCCAGCACTGCCTTTGGCATTTCCTAGAGCTGAAGCACTGGGAAGGCTTCATGTACCTACTGAGCTCAGCCACGCTGGACTGTCTGGGTGAGTGACACAAGTTACTGGATGCATCCTTACAACTGCAGATCTGAGTTAATGGAGCTGTGCTGCTCTTGAAACTGCTCCCCAGAGGATGCTGCTGGTGCTCATCTGTGCCTCTCAGCACACTGTCCCCTTCAGCCCTTGGGGTGGCTCTTGGTGCCTGGGGCTGGGCAGCCAGCAGGGCTCAGCTGGGACAGGGGCCCCATAGCCCAGCCTGCCCGGGCTGCTGGCACGGTTGGCTTTATTTATGTTGTGCGATAGGGCTTGGGAAAGAAACAAACTGGGCAAAATCCACCACTGTGGGATCCAGGCTTTCTCTGCTGCTGTGCATTTTTTCATCTCTCAAGCATCTGCTGCTGTGACCTACTCGGATGTCATGCTCTTATCATTTGTCCAGGGCAGCTCAATTGCCAAGTAAGTGGAGAATAGGGCTGTTTGACTTTGGATCTCTTGGCTATTGTTTCCCTTCAAGCAATCATTGAGGGCGGGAGTGGGGTGGTGAGAAGGGGAAGTCCTACATATCCTATGATTAAAACAAGCTTCTAACCCATAAGTAGATGAGGCTAATTCAAATCCCAGACCCTGATATTCCAATCTACATGCAACTTACCTTGTGCCAGTGCTAAGTTACAGAACAAGACTGAACTATGTTGCTACTTGCCCACTGTTTAAAAGGATGGTGACTGGTGGATGGTTTTGGTATCAAGCTCACCCTCTTGTTTGGTTTGTAGGTTGCAGTTATTGTCTTGGGGAACAAAACTGACCTCCTGGACCAAAGGCAAGTGGAAACAGAAGCAGCACAACAATGGGCACGGGCTGAGAAAGTGAGACTGTGGGAAGTGACTGTGACAGATCGGAAAACACTGCTTGAACCCTTCACCTTCTTAGCTAGCAAACTGTCCCAGTCCCAGAACAAATCAACATTTCCCTTGCCTGGAAGGAAGAGCAAAGGGAATAACTGTGAAAACTAGACTAGCTTAGCATTGTCTCCTGCTGCCAGGTCACAGTCTAAGTCCTTTTTGTGCCATTTGCTTCTTGCAGTTTCACTTAAAGCAATAATATCATTCAGCAATAAAATCAGCAAGCTTACAGCTAAGAGGTATCCTTCCTTCTCATAGACTTGGCTTGGAAAAGCTGCTGGTGGTAAAAGCCTCAAAAAGCACTTTAGGAGAGCAGTTATTTTGTAGTCAGGGTTATGGAGGAGGAAGGGATAGATGGATACCTCTCTAGCAGGGGCTTTTACTATGCCTGGATACAGCCATGTTGAGGGACAAATCAACAAGCTTACCAGTATATAATCCCCCTGCACATCTATAGCCTGTAGTCATAAAAAGTATTAGCTGCAATAAAGCATTCAATTTGGAAAGGTGATATATTTGAAATGGCAACAGTTCTTTTACCTTGACCTTAAACAGGGCCACAGGGCTTTTTGATCCTGCAAGAGGCTGAGATCAGTGTCTTGCTGTAGGAGAAGGATATAGAGCAGGAGGAACAATTACCAGATTTAGCCACTGATGTTTTGCTAGTGTCTGGAAGAAAAAAAAACACCCCCCACGTCTTCTGGGAAATACCCCAACATGAACCTTGTCAACAAAGTCTAGTAAGCAGTGCTTTCAGGTCAGGAATTCATTTGTGGAACCAGAACAGCTCTCAGAGCACTCATTGATTGAACAACCACCTAAGGACAATATAGCTGTGGGTTTGTTCCAGTATGTCCACTACAAATCCCATAGGTGTCCCACATTCCCATAGGTGGTCATTTTACTGAGAATTACACTAACTGATTTTGTATAAGCTGGGCTCTGCTTAGGGCACACTCACCTGGCTGCCCAGGCAAGTGCAGCAATCCACCCTCCCTAGGCCAGGTAGCAGCTGGAACAAAGCTCTGTATGACTCTGCAGGTGGGGCTAAGGAGGGTAGGAGGCTGCCTGCCTTTTTGGAGAAGGCTGCCTGCCTTTCTGCCTGGCAAACCTGTGTGCTGCAGGAATCTGCTGTCCCAGGCCAGCCTGGCAGTAAACTGAACAAATGGGGATATATAGAGCGACAGAATGAGCAACTTTTCCCAGAGACAGGGACCAGTTTTTGGCATCTAACAACCTCCTGTACTAACTGATGCTAGCTTTTCTTTATATTTGAAGGCAAGAGCAGAGAGAGGGAGTGAAGTACCCAGTTTCTGTATTTTCCACTAAATTAATCCTCTTTTGAACAAATACTGAGAATTTCACTGTGAATCAGCAAAACCACAAGCATTATTTGCACTGTCATATCATGACTGCTAAATAGTGTGCTTAATGATCACAATTAAGCTCATAGTATTGCTCTTCCTGAATACTGATTAATAAAGCCTGTCAGCATTACTAAAGTCTGTCAACATTATTAATGTCAGAGCACCAGTACACTTCACTAAAAATTAAACAGGAATCTCTACCAGTATAATGAAGGTAGACGAAACTGTTTATGTGCTTTGCTCAATATAGTTTGCATTGCTGTGGCCAAGGAGTAAGATAAGAGAGCAATTATGAATGAGCAAGCTCTTGTAATGCCCTCCTAGGAACACACAATTGTTTCCACACTGCAGCTGAGTAAGCACAATAGCACGACCTCTGTGTACCTGGCCAGTAAGAGTCATTGTCCCCAGCGCTGCTGCAGGATGACACTCCCTCATCACTCATTTCCTACTGAACACACGTGTACTCCAGGCTTCTCTCTACCCAGAAGGCTCCATATCTACCTGCATGCTTGGGAAGCGGAGGTGACTTCAGAGCAGCAGTGGTTCACCTCCTTGCTGCAACCTCTTACCAAGGAATGGGTCATGTTCCTCTTCTTCAGCTCTGCAGAACCCTTCTGGAAGGGACTTGAATCAGCCTTGGATCAATCAAAATAAGTGAAGATGTCCACTAACAGCACATCACTAAAGCTGACCCTTGAGCCAAGGGAGTGCAGGTTGACAAGTCAGAATGAACTTAAAATGCCTGGAGATGGAAAGAATGGGGATGAGTGGTTCCTGTCCAGCTCTGCATGCTGCAGACTTTGTGCCAATTCTTCTGCCAAGACTGATGTCACCTGTAGGCTGCCAGATCTGTGCAGTGCAAGTGTAGCTTGCTCACTTGCTCCACTGGACTCCCAGGACTTGACAGTGTTTTAAGTCAGGCAAGAGAAACAGTATCTTCTAAATGACTAAGGTAATTTTTCCAAATAGGCTACATAAAGGCAAACACATTTTCTTTGATTTGGCTAAATGTAGAGTTTAAATAATTCGAGGCATTCAGATAAAAAAAGAAATCACCACCCACTGTTTTCTTTCATAAACTTACTCCGATGTTTTTCTAAATATCATAGTGTTTTACTGAGAAGTGATGGAAAATCTAGTGTCTCCTCTGCAAATGATATGCACACAGTGGCTGGTACTGAGTAAAAATGAAACTTGCTGTAGTAGAGTTTTACACAGGGCAAATAAGCAAAGTACAGAGTATAACGTAGTAGCTAATGGGCAGAACATTTATTTTGTTCTTCCTATTCCACTGACTCAAACCCTGTTCTAGGTTACTGGGATCACTTACCTTCTGCAAAACCAGGGTCACTTCACAAGATAATGGAGAAAACTTATTATATGAAGAAAAACAAATTAGTTTTGTTTGAGAAAAATATCTTTCTCTATTCCTCTAAAGCCTCTACCCTGCTGAATAGACACTGTACAAATCACTCGCCCCCACCAGTTACAACAGTTAATTTGACATGTCCTGGTGGCACAAAGAAAGAAGCTGGCAAAAAACTACTGAGATGAAGCCATTTACCTATTTACTCAGTAGAGGAGAAGGAAAGATCACCAGAGGTGCTCCTAGTGTGATGTAGCTATGTGCCAAACAGGTAAACAGCTGAGGGAGCTCATACCCCAAAACATGCACTGTGTCAAATGACAGCAGTTCAGCTGATGGGTGTACAGTGCTGCTACCCACCCAGCGAAGGAACGGACACCTCTAATTAACAGATTACTTTGGACCGAGTTATATTTGCTCTGTATCTAGATAGGAAGAGAAGTATGTAAATTAAATGCATACAGAATTTATTTCAAAGTACCAAACCAAGTCTGAGAGCACAGGTGGCCACCCAACACTCACAAGAATGTCGCGAGGTGAAGCACTTGCCATGAAAAATGAATCTGTGCTTCCGGCCTTTACCTTAAGGGAGTGGTCAGAAATGCCATACCCACAATTAACTGCCCTGTTGCTACACACCTCAGTGCAAACACTATGTCTCTAGGAGATAATCTTTATAGGTAGTTAAAGGATGTACAGATACTCCTTTACAGTATTGTCTGCTACCTTACTCTTTCAGGTGTGAGTAGACCACTCCACCAGAAAAGCATCAACACATTCTTTCCTTCCTTTTATTTCCTGTCTCTTTCCGTTCCAGATAGCTTACACTTTTCTGGTTGTACTTTCAAACAACATGGCAGTCTTGCAGAAGCAACACTGTGAAAATTTAAGCTAAAAAGTAACTATTGTGGACTCTGTGGCAAGCTATCTCCTCATGGCCAGGTCCCTGCACAACACCTAGTGAACAGTTGTAAAGGTCTTATGCTGTCATTCACTGTGTGGTTGTCTAGCAGTGTCTTCCTAAAACAGCAGCAGTCAGTGCACTCACCTGCAGATCTCCCTTGTCCATAACCACAGCATATATCCTCCAAAGCTTACAGAGACACCATTCTGGCAAAGTGACAAAGCAAAGGACTAAGCAGAAATCTTTCCTTCTTATTTTTTTTAAACATCTTTTTATTAGCACAGTAACAAATGCAGACTTAAGTAGCCCACAACATACAACCAATCCACTGAGTGACTCCTATTCCACACCTTACAGTTAAACAGCTTAAGGTATTTCACTACAGGTTACCATAAGTCCTGATTAAACCCTTTATTCTTTTCACAAAGATAGATTGGCTTATAAAATAATACATTAACTACTTCTCATATCATATATGAGGCCATATATCCACCTCTCCATATCACAGATCATGAGATGACAGTCTTTAAAAAGGATTTGTTAAATACCAATGTGCCCTCCATAGGGAAAAAGAATCCCAACATCTTTTTACAAAAAAAAAAAAGAAAAAAAAGAAACTGAACTCAGAACAAAATAATCCCTCAAACCCAAACAAACAAAAAGCAGAAACAGTGTGTAGAGTCTTGAAAGGACTTTTACATAAATGTCAACCTATGTACCTGTACAAAATTAAGCTGTTTTAATCTTTTACATATTGCAAGCAAACTGAAAACCAAAGAAGTCTAAGAAGTTTACATTCTTCTCGGTACTATATGTGAGCTAATATTGCTGAACTAATTACAGTCTTAAAGTATGCTATTCCAAATCCTAGCTGTCTACTGTAGCAAGATACCTTAAGTTACAACAACAAAATCTTAGGAAATAAAAGACTGAATAAAATCTGTTATAGAAATACCCTACTCTTTACCAGCACCCTCCCACCCCCCCACCCCTTCAAAATCATAAGCAGCTCTTTCCATCACAGACAAATAATGTAAGAGTTTGACGAAAATCCAATTTATGTAGCATATCTTTTGGTCCATTGTCTGGCCATTCTGTCATGCTCTGCTCTGTTAGTCATATACTGAGTGGCAATGCTTCCAACCAGGGGATCAGCTGAAAAGGAAACATACCGCTTATTTCAGAAAAGTTGCCCAATAAAAGCTTTTAAATAAAGCTGAAGTGTAAATTTCATAGAAGGCAAACACACAGGTAAGGTGCACTGTAACAACCTAAACACTGATGATCTGCATATTCTCTGATTTTGTGTATTTATGGTGATGTACTAATCTGTAATTTAATAGTGTGAAATGCCAATAAAGTTTTAAGAAGTTTAAGACACAACATAAGTCACATTTTGCATTATTGAGGGTTTTCACCAACTCACGCTTTTCAGGTTTATTTTATTCCTTCTAAGGGTGCCTGAGATACTCATGCCAAGCCTACTTGTAACATTGTAAAGATGCCTTCTAGGAAATATAAAATCTCAAGAACGGGTTTAGTAAAACAAGTTTAAGTACACTGTGAAATCTGGCCTTTCTCTCCTCTTTAGATATATAAAAATGCAACCTGTAAAATTACTTTGGAAATTAAGACATATTCCTCTTAACTCTTGTGGACAGCAGGTGGATTAGAGCAGCAGTGATGACTACTTGTGGCATAGTTTGGCCACTTCTTTTAAATGGATGATGGAATGTAAAAGGTCAACCCCCCGTTTTCAGAACTGTTTGTGGCTCTTCAAGCTCTGTTACTGAATTATTGCAGCCCTACAGACCAGCTAAGGCTGCGTTTGGAAGGAGCTTTCATGTGCAGGAGTATCACTTGTTTCCCCATGGGTCAGCCTGAGGAGCAGTGAGCAGCAGGGTGGTAAGGGTTATCCCCCTCCAGCACCTCCAGCCCCTCTCCGACTGCCCTGGAGAGGGAAATGTGCTCCACTGGAGCATGGGCTGAGCTGGCCACACCAATGGAGTGAGGAGGGCCACGTTATTTAGGTGCTGGGAGGAATGCAAGGTGCAGGTGGACTTACCGGGGTTACAGTCTGTGAGGAGGGAGCAGATGGAGAGGAGAACTTTAGAAATGGTTAACGCTGGACTCCAGTTGTCCTTTAGAATGTCCAGGCAGATGACGCCTTGGCTGTTAATGTTACAGTGGTAGATCCTTGTCCGGAACGTTACCTGCAAGAGAGGGGTGTGAGCGGGTGTGCCGGGGTGCCGCGGGCTGTGGGGAGCGCCAGGACAGCAGCACCAAGCGGGGCAGCGGAGCAGCGCCGGCTCCGCGGGTCTGGCCCGCCTCGGTCCCGGGCCGAGCCGCGCCGGGCTCCCCGGGCCGCCGCCGCCCTCTCGCGGCGGAAACAGGAAAGAGCCGGACTTAGAACAAAAATGAGAGCCAGCTTCCACGGTCAATGCAAAACACAGGTCATAGTGAGTTTAATTTCGTTTTTCCACTTTTTTTTTTGTTTTTATTAATTTTTGTATTTTTGTTCCCAGTGACAAAAGGGCCCAGGGCCTTAACACCAGCATTTTTCTCCTTCTGGACTCCCATGGATTTGTAAAATCCTTCAGACAGACCAAGGCACTTGGAATCACAGCTTCCATCACTTCTAAGAGGCTCAGCAATAAGAGAAATTAGTTCGATTTATTTATTTTTATGATGTAACTGAGCTAGGCAACTTGCCACAGAAGCTATCCAAAAGGAAAACACAAGAAACACAAGCACCAGGAGCTGAGCTCAGAACACCATGGGACCTACAGAGAGGCCTTACCCTGACTCACTGAGTGAACAGCAACAACAAATTTGGTGCAATTTGCATGGATTAGGAGCATGAAAAAAGGCTGGTAGGTTCATGTCCTAAATCCTCAAAATTTGTCAGCTATCCACCCTAGAAATTTTATTGTCTGTTTATAGGTCACAGGAATATTTGCAAAACACACTCGGTAAGTGTGTGGTATGACAAGAACACACCAGTGCTTTCTCTCGAGATGGGACCAGCCCACACATAAAACTTGCCAGTCAATCCTCATTTTTTCTACTGCCTTTCTGATGCAAAAAATTTGCCTGTGACCCTCACTCTCACAGGCGTGGGGAGCAGGCACAGGGTGGGGTGACAGCTACAGAAGTCTGGTGACTGGCATGTCCTCGTGCACTGAATCCATGCAGTGTTTCCAAGAATGCTCCCAATGCACAGAGCACACGGGCTATTTTTGGACTTGCAAAAGCGGTTACTTGTCACACAGGAGACACCCACACTGCATGCTTGGGGAGATTTTACGCTTTATTTCTTGTGAGCTGCTTGGATTTTGGACTAAAACAGGAAACAAACAAAGGAAACCCCAAATCCCTGCACGTTTGCACATTATGGGGGAAACAGCAAAATGACTGCAAGAGAGCAGAGATGTGTTACCCTCCCACATCTTCTGCAAAAAGCTGCCACTCCAAAACAAGAACTCCAGATGCTTTCTACCTGGGGAGCCTTGGAAGTACAGCAGACACGAAGCCTAAATGACCTTTGTTTCCCAGATCATCTAATCTTCGGAGGAAAGGCAGCAATTACTCCCTGCAGTCATGTGGAACTCCACGTGCACCAGCCTGAGCAGAGGGCGGATCTGCCTCTGCTGTACCTGCCCCAAGCCACACTGTTCAGGGCAAAACACATTCGTGGCATTTGCAGTTGCTGGCAATGGCTCTGCCTCCTGAGCAGCCCTCAGCCCAGCCCTGCTGCTTGCTCAGTATTTCTGTGTTTGACCTGCACCTTTGGTCTCCTTCCAAGAAGGTTTCTAACTGTAAGCGAGGTAACCATTTTGACAGTTTAAACACTTCCAGAAGGGAAAGCGTGGACTATTTCCAAGCTGATACAATAAGGACCAAATTAACATAGGTCAACAGTTCTAATTTGTAAAGACAGAAAGTTGTTAATCCTATTCTCAGCACAAAAGCTAAATACTCTGTAGACAGTCTCTCAGTCCAGTTGACTAATAACTGATAACAAAGCATGAATGTTGTTTGCCTTTAAGAGCAAGAGTTATTTTTAAAATTATTTTTCATGGAGGAGGGGAAAGTGAAAATGAAAGAAGACTCCCATATACTTGCAGAACAGCCTGGTTCCTTAACACACCTTAAGATCCTTAAGGGATATATCTGTGGCACTGAAAGCAGTTTTGTCCAGTTAGAGGAACTCTACCAAGCACTGTGCAAAAAATATCTACGTTTGTTTTCACTTTAGCAGCAACTCAGAACTAGGATGGTGTTAGACATATGTACTCCAGCTGTTTGCCATTTCAATTTTAGCTGATGGCACAAAAGCCAGCAGTGCAGGGAAAGCAAATGGAATTGGAAGAGGAAGAAACTGAAGGCCTACTAGAAAACAAAAATATTTAAAGTAAATGCTCATTACACCCTAAAGAGGGGAAAAACCCCTCACATCAAGCTAGTACATTCAGACCAAAATCAAAAGAAACTGAGTTATCTGGAAGGTAGTGAAGAGAACAGCATGTGGAATAGCAGAAAAATATAGTGTAACTGAACAATCCTTTGGAAATGTCCCACCTGAGATTACATTAATGCAGTAACTACATGGAGTTAAGCACAGCTTTTGAAAAGACATGAAAGAAGCTAATCTCAACCTTACCCTGAAGTGATAGCAGAGGTTAATTTACACAAGCAGCAGAATAGGAGTGGGTGGAAGGAAGTGGTTAGAGGTTATTAATACAAATGATCAAAGCACACACCCCAGGTCAACACAAGCTACTGTTTTCACCTCAGTAAATGAAATCAAACCCAACTATAATGTAACTCTTGGGAAAATGTCCATTGTAATAGTACTAATACAGAACCTCTTAAAGTCTAATTATACTTGTTTACTGGATTCTCCTAAATCCAGGCACACCCAGCACGTGCCTGACTCATTTGCTACCTGAAACACAGGCAAAACCAGAATACAACACAAAATGAGAAAACATAAAAAGCAGACAACAGATTAACACTAATATTTTCAAGGTGTTGTATAGAATGCTCAATTAAAAGCATAAGAACTCCATTATACATATTTAGGACATCAAAGACAGTATCTGTCCCTGTATCAGATTTCTCCCCCTGAAGTTTCTTGTACCGTGCAATGCATTTCCAAGTCAAATTTTAAGATCTTTCATTTCTCCAACCTCAAGCAGCCCCTCTTAATATCCTCACAGGAATCTAAACATCACTTCTAGCACAGTCTTTTGACTCTCCTACAGGAACATCCTCTCCAAAAACATTTGCTCCAACATACTGAATCAAGCCCTCAGCTAGAGTTTGACCCAGTCCTCAAAGCTACACCTGTATATCCTTCATCACATATCTCTAAGATGCTCATCAACCACACAGCATTTGCAGGGTTTATGCCTCAACACCTTCTCTCACACATATGCCTGAGAGCTTGGAAGCTTGCCAGGATGACCATTTTCACCTAATTTTATTTAAGAAGGTAAATCCTTTAATGGCATTTTAGTTTCAGATTATGAACTGTGTTCAGTTATAGGCACTTCACCATTGGGCAGCCCACCACGGCAGGAACTGTCCTCACAGGAGTTACCAAAGACTCAGAGAGATTTTCTTCCACTGGTCTTACAGGGCTTACAAAGGAAGATCCAAGGGTTGCAAGTGCTTTTTCCTTACAAAGCATCATCTTTCCAGAGATCAAGGCTTTTAAAATGACATTCTACTCTATTTTAAAATGACTCTACTGTTCTGTGAGTGCTTAGCATCAAAGTGATATACACTGGATTTTGTTTCAACTAGCTGTTTCTTTATTTCTTGCCCTAAAAGGCACTTACAGGAAGGCTACTGTAATTACATTAGCCTACCACTTAAACATGATCCACAGACAGTATTTACTCGCTACTGCAAGTAGTTGGATAGTCTAAAATCAACAAAATATCAGGAATAAAGCAGGAGTAATATGATAATCATATTTTCCACATTACCACTGATTAACACTAGTGTGGATTTTAATACAGGAGCAGCTTTGGTTCTCAAAGGATGGTTCTTCATTTCAACCTGAAGTGTCCAAGTAGAGGAAGTGTGTTCTATTATAGCACCACCATGCTTTCTCCTATATATCATCTCAACAAGACTGAAGTTACATGTATTTTACTTCCATGCCTACATGTGGTTTGTAAACTGACTTGGACTTTGCTAGATAAACTCCATTTAAATGAAACTGATCCAATACAGTGAATCACCATTAAACTCATCTTTTAAGGCCTCAGTCAGTGGTGTCTATCTGTTTTAATCCCACCCTTCCTTTCATCTGGGTGAGGGTTTAGATGCCAAGACAAAGCGATCTCAGTCAGAAGCACTGAGCAGAAAGCAGGGCTGAGCTGAATGACATGACTGTTTATTTGGCTCTGTGTGGGGGAGCTTGGCATACAGGGCTGTCTCTGTAGCTCTGGCAGTTACAGTATGGTCCTGCAAGGCATCCTGCTCGACCCTCGAAGCAGCATGGCAGGAACACATCTGAGAGCAAGGGCTGCAACTCTGGCTGGGGCATTGGCACCACCTACCCTGCCCGTGGCAGATACTTCTACCCAGATGGAGCTGCTGAAGGGAGAGGCTGCAGAGTGGATCTCAGGCTGCAGGCAGTGTCGAGACCTTTCTCCTGGGCAGGACAGCCAGCAGGCCTGCCTGCAAAAGGTGCTGCCCAGGTGGAAAACCTCCTGCAGCAGCTGGCTGAGCTGTAGGAGGCAGTGAGAAGCATGTGTGGCATCAGGGCTGCTGAGGAGAAGTTAGCTGGTTCCAAACTGCACTGGACACACATCCTATGGCCACACAGCCACAAACTCCCATCAGCACACAGGGGAGGGAGGGGGGCCAATAATGCAGAAAAATGGAAGCTTTCCACGGCAAGGATCTGCAGGAAGAGACTTTCCCCCAAAGACTGAAGTGTCCCCACAGAACCACTTAGCTGCTGTGAGAGTGGAAACACCCATGCTATCAGAAAAGACACTAAAGCCCAATAAGGCAGTCCTGGGAGTGACAAGAAAGGACTCTGGAGCATAGATGGTTTTTTCATCAATCCTCCTGGTCAAAGGGAAAGGGTTCAAAAGGGCTAGTCAAATCTGGCAAACCAACACATGGTTATGGGATTGGTGCCACAGTCAGGGGTTTGGCTACTTAGACCATGGGACTTGCTTTGGGAAACCTGGCACTGATGGATCCATCTGTCAGAGAAGGGGAAGGAGCCTGCATGGATGAACAAGGAACTCCTGGACAAACTCAAACACACAAAGGAACTGTACTGAAAGTGGAAGCAAGGTCAGGCAGCCTAGGAGGAACAGGGAGAGGTGGGCCTGTGAACTCATAAAGTTCAATGAGCCCATGTGCAAGGTCCTTGTACCTGTGTCTGGCAATCACGAGCACTTGTGAGACCCCACCTGAAGCGTGGCATCCAGCCCTAGGGCCCCCAGCATGAGAAGGACATGGAGTGAGTCCATGCTGCTGGAGTGAGTCCAGAAGAGGGCCATCAAGACAATCAAAAGGCTGAAGCACCTCTCCTATGAAGAGAGGTTGAGAGAGTTGGGCTTTTTCAGCCTGGAGAAGAGAAGGTTCCAGAGAGACTTTAGAGCAGCCTTCCAATACCTAAAGTGGACCACAGGAGAGCTGGAGAGGGACTCTCTACAAGGCCATGGACAAGGAGTCATGGCGTTAAAATGAAAAAGGGTTAATTTAGACGAGATATTAGGAGGAAATCCCTTATTGTGAGAATGGTGAGGCACTAAAACAGGTTGCTCAGGAAAGTTGTGGATGCTCCATCCCTGGAAATATTCACGGCCATGTTGGATAGAGCTTTCAGCAAGATGGTCTAGTGGAGGGTATATCTTCCCACAGCAAGGAGGTTGGAACTAGATCATCTTTAAGGCCACTTCCAACCCAAAACATTCCAGGATTCTATGATGAGTCTGAACAAGTCTGGGCTGATAAATGCTTCTGCTAGCATAGAAAGCAAAGGTGTAACAAAGCACACACGGAAAAGCAAAAGATCTCTCTTTAAATGCTTACTGGGCTCGCAACATAATAAACTGCATACAGTTAGCTGGACAACAAATTATTCAGCAAATTAAACAAAAAAAACCCCAAAACCAAAACCAACCAAACAAAAAAACTACTCAAAAATGAATTAAATTCTGACATGAGAACCATCTGAGAATGCCAGAGAATGTCCAAAAAGAGAAGGACAGATGTCAGCAGAAAACCACTAGAGATGTCCCAAGGCAGACCATACTGTTTAAGAACTGGAGCCCTATCTTAGAGGGAGAATTTAAGGACCTTCTACCAGAAACCCTGAAGTTATGTGAGCAAGAACAGGCAAACAGTTTCCTTAATTTGGCAAGCTTGTATTAATTTGTCTTGTGCAAGCAATTAGCATTTCTCTGTTGAGATGGCCTGAAGAAGTCCTTTCTGCTGCAGACTAGACCAAAGTATAAAAGATGGTGTAGTCATTGGCATTTATTTCATCAATCAAACAACATTTAAGTAGAAAGTTAAACATGCACATAAATGCTTTCAGATACAAGACAAACACCAAGGGTATGCGCAAGCACCTCTTGTAACCCAACACTCCTCCTGTGGCCACATATTGGAACCACCGGATAATGTTCACTTGCACTGGTATTTGCCTTAGAGCACTGGAACACAACACTGGAATGTAAGAGCTTCACAAATATAACACACCTATAGAAGGTTGTTACTGTACAAATAGGTGAACAACACAAGTGTCCAACAAAACTGGAAAATGAAATACTACTTTGGTGGCTAAAACACATGTAACTTATGCTTACAGTACCTAAATTGTTTGAGAAATAAGTGTTTGTAGCATTTATTCTCTTCTCAAGTTTATTTACTTTTCAGTTTCTCAGCCCTGTCCCAATGCTTGCACTAAATGCTTAGGACTTCTTATAAACAGAAGGAGGACAAAAGAAGGCAAGCTCTAGGATAATTATCAAGAGGACTGAAAAAGCTGTCAACATTAGCTAATAGAAACTCCTGTAATGTCTAAAATTAGCTTAAGTTTGTTCTTAAGAAGAGTGAATTTCAAATGGGCTGTGCTCCATTAACACTGCATGCTATTCATGTTTAGCACTCATGACTTATGATGTTAGCTACAGGTCTCTTACCTTTGGAGGCTTGAAGGGATATTCTGGGGTAAATGTGATGTCAAGGAAGAAAACACCTCCCTCATAGACTGAACCTGGAGGTCCTAGAATGGTTGATCTCCATTCATAGATGTTATCACCTTTGGGGCCAGCACTAAGAGATAAAAAACAAAATAATTTAGAAATACTACCACAGCTCAAATAAATACGACTTCTTACATTCTTCAAGTGTGATATGGAGGAAATATTTCAGTGTTACTCTTCATACACCACCTGACATAGAGACGGGGATTAAAAGAAGACTGAATGCTTTCAAACACTCAGAGATCTTACCCGAACTTATCAGTGCTCCAGACTGTTTAGCAAAGCTGAGAAACTAGAGCTGGGGTATGGTTTCCACTTGCTCTTTCTTGATAGTTACATGAACAGCATTACCCAGAACTACTCCTAAACATACTACACTATCAATTCAATACAAGAGCTAGGTTTCAAAGAACAATTTCCTACTGTATTCAGAAATGGCTCTTCCATTTCAGTCTTAATAAAACTGTACCACATTAAAGACCATAATAAACAAATTAAGGATTTATGTTCATGTTACTAATCTTATGTGTTCTTTAAAATTAAAATATATCCTGCATTATTGTTAAACAAAGGCACATAGTATAATTGAAGGAAGCCAAATTAATGATGATGCTCTTAAATGTCAAAATTTTCTACACTTTTATCATTTTACTGCACATGATCTTACCTGGTTGATATTGCTTGCATTGTGGAACTGCGTTTTTTAGGGGGAATTAAAATCACTGTGCCAAATTAAAACAGCAATTTCTCAAATTAGCTCAGCTTATTGGAGATTCTGCCCAACCTGCCAGCAGCTCACTACAAGTAGTACAAACTAAAGGTGTTGCAGAGATCAAATGTCTGCTTGGTAAAACTAGTTTTACTGGTATCCTTAGACACTTGTACTCAGTAGTGTGCCACATGTCACTGAGTATTTTCTAAGTACAGCTCAACCTATAAAGCCATTAATGGTGCAGGACTCCTTTGCTGGCTCTTCCCTTCTGTACTGCTATGGTAGTATTTTGTTCGTAAGATGCCAGAGCTGGAAAAACATTTGCATAACGGGAAGTGCTGACACAGCTTTTTCCATCATGGATGTACCATGGTGTCAAAAATCTCTTCTCCCCTTGTTCTGAAGGGGATGGATCTTAATGTTCCTAATACATTGAAAACTAGCTTTGCTGTTCTTTCCTCCTTCTTTTAACAAGGCTCCACTAAGACAGAAGGTAAAAACCAAGCTCTTTACATATTATAATAATCACAGAGCAGTATTACTTGAGAGGGAAGACAATACAATAAATTCAATATACACATGACAATGTGCATTTGATTAACATGCAGGAAACCAGAGTAATCACTAAGTGTTAATAACAATGTTACAAACAGAAATACAACTGCAAGAACATAAATTGTCAACAGTGATCAGAGACATTTTTTTCCCCTGCTCTTCCCAGTACTGGTGAACATCTTCTTGACAGCAGGGGAATTAGGAGAGAGAAAGGGAATTAATTCTGTTATCAAACCTAACATTTTTTTCCAGATTAACCTAACAATAAAATTTCACAATATGTTGGTGCTAGATAATTTAACAATGGTGAAATTATGACTAAAAACATGCTTCTAGGGAAAGGAAAGCATGTAAGAAAGCAGCAGACGGATCTCTGCAAATGATGCACCAGCCACAAGGGAAAGACTTTTCTCTCCAGAACACAAAGCCCCACACAGCTCAAGATCAGTATTAAATTAAAGTAAAAGCCATTCCATCCTGAACACTCCTGGCATCCCACTCCACCTTAATGACTTGTCCCTGTCCTTTGCGGGTCCATATATTTGGGCACTCAGTACTCTCCAGCTACCGCTTGTGCGTTAGACTGGAGAAGTGTCGTATTTCGAGGGAAGCTCTGGCAAGACACCAACTGTGCAAACTTACTGAAAAGGACTCTCTGGGGCACCCTTAGCCACCGCTCCAAGGAATCACTTCTTTATGTACCTATTAAGCAACCTACTGACACACTGTCATTACTGCAAGTTGCGCCGGCAATCATCCTCCCCTCCCTCCCTCCCCTAAAGGTGGAGCTACTGAACGGGAACAGGTACTTGAACTTCGTTAGCACCGATTTACTGTGGGAATTTATATCACCAGAACTGCCAACGGAGAGCACTTCAGCACGCAAGAAATGTGATGTGCGATTAGCACTGAGTACAGCCCTCTGAGCCAATGAGATATATTTCAACATTTTGCATTTCCAGCATCAGCCCAAGGGACTGTCAATAAAAAACTCCCACAGACTTCAAAAAATATATTATCATTAGTAATAGTCTGAGAAATCTCTTGTATCCTATTAGGTTTCCAATTAGAGCTATCACTGCACACAAGTAATATACTGCCATATTAAGAGTGCAACATCTTTGTAAGACATCAGTAGGCTTTAACAATGATGTGCTAAGCTTTCCTTTTAAGCTTTTCATAATTCAATTAACAGCATAAAATAGCTGTGCATGTCCAACTTTTACACATTAACATTGATTTCTTATAAAAGAAAGACTGAAAGAGGATGATGCAAGTCAGCTTCAAGTATGATACTGCTTAGATTTAATTTAGGATTAGTAATATCAAACAGCTCATGAAGACCTAGTGCATAATAGAAAAGTGACAATACTTGACCACAGTGTAAGAACAGTGGCATTAACTTTTGGTGGAGATATGGAAACTGTCAAAGGCTAAAGATTACATTATTTGTTTAAAATCCTTGCAATTATCTGCTTCAAAAAGAAATTCACTGATGCATGGACAAAGGGCTCAACTGGCAGAGCTGTCACCTTGCCTGATATCTGTCACCACTGCTCAAATTAAGCGTCTAGATCTACTAATACAACACTTTAAAGCTGTCCAACATATGACCACCAGGAAGACAATTTTAACCAATTAAATAGAAATTGTTTCCACTGCAAGATGAGAGTATGTGAGCAACAACTTTCTGTATTAACTCAGCAGCCCACAACCTCTTCACTTCCAAAGAAAGAAATGAATAAAAGACCAGCAATTCAGAGTGAAAAGCGACTCTGAAAGAAAACTGAAAAGATCCCAACCCATTATTATCCTATCAAGCAGCATGTGTTACACTGCAGTGCAACTGAGATCTCTCTTGGAAAAACAGTGATATATTCAGTGAAGAAGGACTGCACTCACTGTAACAACTGATCCTGATTGTTCCCAATGATGCTAGCTTATCCCCCAGACTGATGACAGAAACATTCCTTGGGAAACCTCCCAGAGCCAAGGTATTGTTTAAGGAATACCTAATTTTCCGAGTCTAGAAGCAGGAAAATGCAAGGCATTACCTCCTGGTAAACCCAAGGCAGAGAGAAAGAGTCAGCACAAGTGAGACCAAGCTCAAAGTCCTGCATGGGCCAAGTCCTAACCAGCATTGTGCTGCTTTGGAAAAACCTGATCATGCTCTGCTTCTCTTTGCTGGCAGGCGCCATATTCTTTCCCAACTTAAAAATCCATCAGGTAAATTAGAAATGCCTGGAGCAGGGGCTGGGGAGCAGAACCATGCCTAGGCAAATTAGCTGCAGATGCCTTGCAGTACTGAGCAACTGTAAACACAGAACTCTGTCTCAGAGATTCAGTGTTCATGGAGAACACACACACACACACACACACTTTCACAAATAGGAAAAGCTGAGAAGACAGACAGTCTGCAAGAACACCCAGCCTGTGGCTTTTTTGTGTTAAGCCTGTCAGATGTATCCTCTACCACAGGTCTGCAATACATGATACCACCCTGATATTTTGCACACACAAACTCAGCTTCCTCCTCCGCCCTGGCATGCTGGGCAAATCACTCAAAATATGCCTATGCCACAAGGGAAGGCAGGACTTTTTGGTGTTCACCACATATAGCTAATGTATGAAAATCCCTGGGAACACCGTGATGGTACTTTCCAGGAGAATGACTCACTAAGAGTCCATTGTTTATGTAAAGATGCTAGTTCATTTAGAAACTACCTGGTCTTTCTAGGAGTCGACCAAATGATTAATGTAAGTACTCCCTTTAGTGAAAATTCAGACTAGCAAATAGTTTAATTTCTCTTCTTTGAGATACAGAAGACACAATAGCAGATCGCTGCAGTGATAAATCAAAATAGTTGATGCTACACTAGGTTAGTACCCTGATATACCAAAGCAGCATATATTCCTTTTAAAAGTTAACTAATTTAGCAGAGTAGTTTAGAAGTGCCACAGACTGCTACCTGTCAGCGTGATGAGAAGAAGGGCGATTCCCTGGTATGATGAATGAAATAACACTTAATGAAAACCTACAATATATTTCAGGTAAAATTGCAAGTAACAAACCCATGAACTCATACACCAACTACTCCATATCCCCAGGTGCTATTTTTGAGGTTATTTCGCCCTAAACATGAAGAGTCTGATGCTAGTAGCTAAGCTGTTTTGAAGTTGCACACTTGGGGAAAATAAACATAAATTCTAAAAACACTGCAGACATGACCTTTTCCAAGGGACATAGCTCAAATCAGAAAGCAAACAACATACTAACACCACTTGGGAATTTCAAGGTAGCAGAGAATCTAATGATCTCCAAAATAAAACTTCACCATTACAAACTGATAGCAACATCAATTTTGTCTTGCTGTTGCTTTGTTTTCTAGTAAGAAACAGTTAATGGCTGAACATGGAAGTGCGTCTTAGTTACGGACTTACTAGGCAGCTTTAGGGAACAGCTGACTGTTAGAAGGTCCCTTTTATTTTCCCACCCTTTTTTCCCCCCTATTTTCTTCTCCAAAGACGTAAGCTCAAAACACGTTAGAAGTTTTGGCTGCCAGGCAGGAAGCGTATCATTCTCACCTGAAGTTCTGTTGCACCTTGGTTTTTCTGACAAACCCACCCCACTCCTGACCTCAGGGTAAATACATTTTCTTTTCTAATAGTCCACTGGGTGGGTCCACCCCAAACTTGCTCACTTATATTGTTAAGCTGAATCTGGTGGAGAGATGGAAAAAGCACTCCAGAAATACTGGATCACTGGGGGAGGCAGGTGCCACCTTTACAAAGAAGCAGGACAG